CCCCCCCCCCCCCACACACACACACACACACACACACTGCACCCCCTACCGCGAATGTCACATCAGGCCGACCAGCCAGCACCCCGTCAAAGTGAAGCCACGCCCCCGACCGCCGCCATGCACCACCAACGACCACACATGCACAACCACAGCCGACCCTCCGCCAGAACCCAGCAGTCACCCCAGCCAAAGGGCCGGCCACTGCAACCAGGAACCCTGATCAAAAGATCCAAACAACCCAGGGAGAACCGGAGCACCGGTCCCACCCCCAATCGCCCCCCAAGGCCCAACACCCACCCACAGCCCAGACCCCAACCAGGCAGCCTACCCCCCTCCCTGCCCCCGATCTCAAATGTCAAACGGAGAACGAGGGTTTAAGGAAAACAGGAAGACCCAACTCCTCCCTCCTCCCACTCAAATAAGGTGTTGATGCATGTTGTTATATCGTGCGTTTAAAATGGGGGGATGAGACGGCGACTGGCACAGACCCACCCCCTCCCCAGAGAGCAGGCAGTGCCCGTTCACCTCCCCAACCCTTGCCCAGAACCCTAAATGTCTACATGCTACATATGAGAGTGGGCACAGGTCCCGGGGGTGAAAATGATTACACATCCTACCCCCTATATGCCACCGTGTGCCCACTCCAGACCCTATATATTTATGTGTCATGAGAATGTTATATGTGAGTGTCTAGGTTGTTTAATAAAATTGGGGCCCAGGTCTCCACGAACCACGGAGATGGAGGATCCTCCCCGCAGCTCAGTAGTGCACCTGAACCCCAAGGCCCTGCTTGAGTGGTGGTGTGATGGAGTGGAGGAACAACTGAGGTGGCATTGCCCTCCCAGGGGGCCAGCTCCCCCACTGACCCCAATAGGCACCCCCATTCTCCAAGATCCACCAGTGCAGGGAGGCTCCAGTGCATCCTTCCAGGAGCAGGAGGCAGTTGCACCACTAGGGACCCAGGCCACGGACCGGCACATAGCCTCGAGGACCGACCAGAACCCGGGCCAGCGACCCAACCCCACCCAGAGATCGTCCAGACCCCTAACCCGATCCCCAGCTCAACACACATCCCCCCGACCAAAGAAGCCACCAAACTCCAGCAGCGACAATCAGCCAGGAGTGCCCGAACAGCTGCAGATAGCGCACCACGATGACCGAGAGCGCACCCCCACCCCCACCCCCACAAAAGGACTGACCAGTCCACCACAGCAACACCCACAATGAGAGTTCCCCACGCAAGGGAGGGCACATGCCTAACACGCCCAGACACCTCCAGGCCTGCAGTGCAGAGCCACCCGAGCAAAGCCCCTCCCCACCCACAGCCCCCCACAGCCCAACCCCCCAGCCAAGCATCAGACCGCAGCCACAGCCAGGCAGGAAGACACCCAGGCTGAATCCACCCATCCCCTCCCATGCCCCCCCGCCCAATGGCAGAGGCCCCAAAGCCCACCAGCGCACCAAGGGCCCCCAGGCCAGGCCAGGGCCAGGCACCGGTGACCCAAGACCCCGGCAAAATACCCACTAAGACCCGAGACCCCCGGGTCAAGCTGGGACCCCAACCTGGAAGCATCACTCCCCCAGAAACCCGAACCCGCGCCCACCCCAAACCCACCCAGGAGCAGCTAGGCCACCAGGCCAGTAACCTGCTCCCACCGGTACAGACTGCCCAGAAGCCTGCATGCAGCCAACAGAGGTCAACGCCCAGAACCACCAAAGCCACCTCCCCAGTTGAGCGCCAATGCCCCGGGCCCACAACCCCCCCCCCCCCCCCCCCCAATGTCCCCAGCCCCGATACCCCACCCACATCAACAACAATGCCCCACGGGATGAAATCAAAGGGGTTTACCCACCTCCACTACAGGTTGGAGCCAATCAAAGAAGTCCAGAGAGATTGTTCTGATGTGGAGGTACAGGCTATCTCAAGACTGATGTAATCCAACAAAAGGTCTTTATACTGTTTAATACTAAGAATATTTTTATTTTTTCCAATTCATGAGTATAGTTTTTTTTTTTTTTTGCTATACATAAAGCAGTAAAAATCATGTGAATTGTCTTTGTCTCCAATGTGACATCATCTAAGTGGCCCAATAAGCAAACTGACGGAGAGAGTGGAATATTACATCTCAGACACTTTGATAAGTCTTCACAAATATATATAAATTAGTCACTCCTATGTACAAGCTGTAGAGTCCAAAGCATGAGAAAAATGTAGCGACTTATACAATGGCAATTACGGTACATAACTTTAAGATGGAAAATGTGTAGAAAATGTGTTAGTTGTACAAAATATTAAACATTTTCTGTTCCCCTGACAGAAAGTGGTGTGAGAACTTACGGCTGTTCGTTGCCTCCTACTGGTTCAGAGGATTCAGAGGTGGGTTGGTAAGATTGTCAACAACTTTTTCTTCCAAGTTTGATTAGGGTCCAAGCCCACAGAGGCAGGAGAGCACAGCTGCAACACAGCTATATGAAACTTAGCAATACACTATAAAACCTTTTAAGATACACAAAGTTTGTTTTCTCAGTCATCCAGGTATATAACAACAAAAAAGGTTGAATCATGTCATCTGGACTTCGTTTTTTT